CCCCCCACCCCTGTCTTCCCAGACTTCCCTGACATCCCCACCAAGTGGCAGTTTAAATCTGCCCTTCCACCGGCTAAAGGGAAGCAGCCCACCCCCGTGTTCTGCCACAGTCCTCGCTGAGGCCGCCCTGGCTCTGCCTCCCTTCTCCACTCCACGTCAGACTGAGGTGGCTGGCCCGACCCGAGCTGGGCCTGCCCTGCGGTCTTTGGAAGGAATCAGTCCCGGCGGGTCTGGGGAGGTCACGGCTGAGCCCTGGAAGCACGGGCCTGCTCGCCAGCACCCAGGGAATGTGCCTTGGGGGGCAGAGCCCCTCTACCCTCACTCCGGCTCCCGCTGGCCTTTCAGGGCAGCCCACCAGGTGGTCCCTGCTGCGAGAAGCCGGCAGGAGAAGCTCAGGCCTCGGACGGGCCTGGAAGCACAGCACACAGATGAGGCGCGGAGAGGAACCCCAGGCCCCGGCGCCGCAGCCTCCTGCTCTGTTCACTCGGGCCCACAACTCCCCGGCGTGTGTCGCAGGACCAGCTGCGTGGCGCCTCTTAGAGAGGACCCCGAGGCCTCGAAGCACCCAGGGTCTCTGCTACAGCAAGGTCAAAGCCGCAGGAAGCCCCAGAGCTTTGGCCAGTACACCCAGCTGCAGGCCAGAGAGGACGCCCCACCCTGGGGTTCTGGGTTACTGGAACGACACCCTAGTCTGAGCGGGGTCCCAGACTTTCTTTTCTTTGCCATAACAGTCCTACCCGTGAGTGTCCTCCTCGGCGGTGACCCTGGATGTCCAACCAGCTGGTGCCTGTGACTCCTTGCCCCAGAGAGCCCGGCCTGCGGCCCCCTCAGCCCTCACGCGCCTGCCCCAGCCCGGCTCCAACATCAGGCGAGGTGTGGGGAAGGACTGCGAGGGGCAGAGGGACCGGCGGAGCAGGAGGGCCGACCTCCTTCTCGCGAAGACCCCGCCGGCCACCCGCGGGCACACAAGTGGTTTTAATTTGCAAACCCAACCTCATGTCTGCAGGGTCCAGGCGAAAGTTTCCCTTCCCAGAGCGGCACCCAGACCGCTGGGACGTGGTCCTCCCCGGACTGCGGGGGTGCCCCAGGTCTGCCCTGTTTTTTTTCCTTGCTGGGACAGCCAGGGACACCCACCCCAGGACAGGTAACTGAGGCTTTTCTCCGTGCGACACACAGACAGAGGCAGACTGCACGGAAACCGCCCTTTCAGACAAGTCCTGGGGATGCAGCCCAGCCTGGGAAAGTTGGCGCGCTGCGGGGAGCCGGTGCGAGCCCACCGTGCGGAGGAGCGCTGCGGGGACGCGACTCCCGTGCGCGCCGGCTGCGGCCGCCGGCTCCTGCATGTCCGCCTCCATCTCCATCCCCTGCTCGGCGGCTCTCTCTCAGGGGCAACCCCGGCGCTGGCGCTCGCCGGCCCAGGCCTCCTCCCTGCGCCTCCCTCACCTTCCACCGCGCCCCTGCCGGCGCCGAAGTCCTTCGGCTTCTCCCTGTCCAGCTCCGCGTGCTCTCTGAGCAGATGCCCCGCGCAGGGGCCGCCTCCGCCCGGCGCGTCCTGCAGGCCGGCGTCCCCCGCGCCCAGCTCCCTGCAGCGCGCCAGCCCGCTCTCCAGAACTTCCCGGTAGGTGACGGACTCCTTCTTGCCGCCAACGCCGCCGCCAACGCCGCCGGCGCCCCCGTTCTCCTTGCTCTTCTGGTCGAAGGATTTGGAGACGAAGGCGGTGAGCTCCTCCATGGCCCCGGAGCGCGGGGCTCGGCCGCGCTGTGCGGCGGGCGGCGCGTCCTCCCCGCCGTGACTTGCGCCTGGCGCTGGCGACCTCGCTATTTATACGCCGCTACCTCCGCCCAACCCCCCGCGCCCCTGTCTGCAGCAATTACGGCTGCTCGGCTCGCGCGCTCGGGGCGCGGAGGCGGCGGCGGCGGCGGC